GGTGATCCGAGTGCCCGCGCACAGGCCGCTAGCTGGAGCAGTGGCTCACCCCCAGCCTCTGGCTACCGGCTTGCCCACCGTGCCCTCGGTGCCTGCCGTGCCAGGCGTCAACAACCTCACTGGCCTCACCTTTCCCTGGATGGAGAGTAACCGCAGATACACAAAGGACAGGTTCACAGGTGAGTCCGGCCCGCGCGCGCCCCGCTTGGCCGCGGCCCGGGCTCTGCGCTACCCTTCCCCGGCACGGTGGCTTCCCAAAGCCCCCTTTGTGCGCCGGATCGCCCAGCTCCTCTTGGCGCTTCCCCCAAGTTCAGCCGCCCGCCACCTTTCTATGCTCGCTGAATCGCCGTGCGGGAAGAGTTCTCCTAGCTTGGGCCGCTCTGCGTCTCTCCTGCAGGACCCCTGCTCTGAGAAGTGCTCCCTGAACCCCTCTCGGAGTCCCTAGGCCGGGTCAGACGGAGGGAAGGGGAATGTAGCTTTGGACTGCCTTCCGCCGGCATTCGGGGCTCGGGAATCTCGGAAAAACGGGCACGATGTGAACAAACTGTTTTTTCGTCCCGGCCAACGTTCTCTGGCCGAGGCGGCGAGCCCCAGAATCAGACGCAAGGACAGAACAGGTTTTCCACCTCCTGTCCCCCCCCCCCACACACACACTGAGCCCCAAGCTCCAGTGTCCGTTGCGCTGAGGGGCTGGCAGAGGCCACGTACCCGAGTAAAGCAACAGAGGTGTTGGACTCTTCTTTCCGGACTGCGGGCTTCGTTCAGGTCAGTGGCAGCGAGAGGCTGAGCCACCCGCTCCATTTTCGTTCTGTCCGGGCTAGGCTTCCTCCCCGCCCCTCTCCCGGCCCTCCGGCGTGAATAACGCACCGGCCAGGCCCAAGATCTATTAGCCACCTAAGGACAACTCCTGGGACGATTACGCACTCGGCTGCGCCGGCTGCCTCCCTCTCCGCTGCCTACTCTTCGCCTTCCCCGGCTTGCCCCGGCTCCCTCCGCTCCCGCTTCCGCTCTCGACACTCAGCTCTCGCTACTGCGCTGGCCTTTTTCCCCGACCTCACTTCCCGCTGCCCTTAGGGTTCCCTGGATCCAAGAATAAGATCCTCTCGCCGGGCCAGGCCCCCATGCCCGTTGAGAAGCAGCCACGAGATGTGTCTAGGTTCTCTCCTGGGCCTTCAAGAAAGGAAGCAGGAGGCATAGGCTGCTGCCTACCACGACCGCGACGTGGGACTCCCATGGGGCTCCAGTTCCAGAACCCAACTGTGAAAGGGGGATAGGCAGATTACACTAGGCTAGGTGACCCTAAGGCACCCCAGGCCTCCTGCTCCTCCTGTTCCAGCCTTGGAACCTGGGCTCAGACTCTGGCAAAAGTTTGGGAGGAGGGTGCACAGAGATCCTTTCTATTTTGGATGGGCCCTGTATTCAAGGAGCCCCACTGCCCCAACACAATGGGCCTGATGAGTCTTGCCTGGTGAATATACCACTCTCCCAATTCAGGCCAGGCCAGTCTTGAAGGACTGATGGAACCCCCAGCCTGGAGCCCACTGGTTCTAGGTCTCTGGTGAAAGATACTCCACATAGGGCCTACCTCGGAGAGCCACAGCCCATTCTAATCTTGCTTCAGGCCTGAAGAAGATTCTGAGGAAGTGTATAGCTGTTGCCTGGTGTGGCCTTATGTTTCCCTGTGTCCTGTGTGCCTGTCTGTATGCCGGCCTGTTTGAGTGTATAGATCTATAATTTGCCCCTGTTGTATATGATGTCTGAATGTTGCTGTGTGATGGAGGCTCGGATCAGGACCCAGGGTCCAGGGTCTCGACTAAGCATGCTCTCTTACTGTCGAGCAGCTTCTCTGAGGCAAGAGGCCTGGAGCTGTGGGGGGCTGCGATCTTTAGCTCGCTTCAGACATGCTTCTCAAGGATACTGGGAAGGCGACTGTGGGCTGTGTCAGGTGGGCACGTGGGAGCCCAGGGCTAGGGAGGCCTCCACGGTGGCAGCGGCGTGCCCTGTCGGCGGGAGGGGGCCGTTTTCCACCCGGACTTGGAACTGAGGGCTGATGGGAGGATCGAGGCTCTGCTTCTGGGGTCTAGCTGCTGCGCTCGCTGATTCGCGGGGTGTCGGGCCTGGGACGCCTCCTGACGCTCTGCCGCTTGCTTCTGCCGTCTGTCTGTCTCCCGCTCCAGTGGCCCTCTCACCCTTCACTGTAACACGCCGTATAGGTCACCCCTATCAGAACCGGACACCCCCCAAGAAGAAGAAGCCGCGCACATCCTTCACACGCCTGCAGATCTGCGAGCTGGAGAAGCGCTTCCACCGCCAGAAGTATCTGGCCTCGGCCGAGCGCGCCGCCCTGGCCAAAGCTCTCAAAATGACTGACGCGCAGGTCAAAACCTGGTTCCAGAATCGGCGGACGAAGTGGAGGTGAGCGCGCGGGGCGGGCGCGGCGCGAGCAGCGAAGTCTCGGGCCGCTCTGGGCTCCAGGCCTCTCGGGGTACACACACTCCTCTCTCCGCTCCCGGTTTCTGATCGGCTCGGAGGAGCGGGCTGCTCCTGCTGGGCTCGCGGGGAGCGGAAGACAAGCGAGACCAGTGACCAGGATGGGGCTGGAGAGCCCCGGCTCTGTTTTACTGGAAGCTTCCTGGCTTTCTGGCCCGCACACTCAGTACCCGTGTAGACGCGACTGGTCATCCCCGCTGCTTGGGGAAATGGCCGGTTGGAGCAGTCTATGCAGTCTGGAGCTTCCATGATTATTTGAATCCTGCGGGGTTTTTTGTTTGTGCAAACTAGCGCTTACAGAGATGCTTCTTCTATCCCAGAGACTGGAGGAGACAGGATGTCTCGCGCTCTGTTTCTGCGCCCCAGCCGGGATCCCGGCAGAGCATCTGGGGTTCCAGACCGCGGCCTGGGCTCTGCTGACTCCCTCCTCCCCCGATACCCGGCCTTCGAATAGCGGGTCCCCCACCCTGGAAGGGAAAATCAATCTTTGCCGGCTGCAGCGGGGTTTCAAGGGTCCCACTGAACCCGGGATCAATTAGGAGCAGATGGGTGTGTGTTTGTGTGTGTGTGTGTGTGTGTGTGTGTGTGTGTGTGTGTGTGTGTAAGAGAGAGAGAATTTTCCCTTCTCTTGTCACAAGTACACTAATTTCCCCCCCACATACGTATACCTCAACCTTTGTCGTTCTCTCTCTCTCTCCCCCACCCCCTTAGGTATATAATGTGCCCCACTCACTCCTAGGCAGCCTTATTTTCTGCATATACCAGCGCTTTCTCCACTGAGCCCTCTTGCACCCCTGCACCCTCCTGCACATCTGGCCCGCATACTCGGTTCCACACCGGTCAGGAGTTTCTCACTGGCTCAGTCCTGGGGGGGAGCACAAGAGAGTCTGGGCGAAGGCTGCGGCGCCGGGCCGGGCGGGCCTGGGGCGGGAGGAAGGAATTGGAGTTTCCTCTTTTTCTGAATGAAGGCGAGGAATCTGCCCGGGATTCCGCCGTCGTGGCCACAAAGGAAGCCACTGCCCCTGGAGTAGGCTGCTCTCCTACCCACATTCCTGTTGCTGGGGAAGGGGTGGGGGACTGGCTCAGACCTCTGGAAAGCTAGTTAAAGAGGGAGCAAAGACTAGATGGGTGTGTGTGGGGGGCACTGGTGTGCCCAATAATACCCACCCAGAGCTGCAGCCTAGGGGTATCTATCTTTGTCCCCCGCCCCCCACCAAGGGGGACAGAGAAAATATAGAGTGGCCGCAGAGAGAAATTAAAACACAAAGGTGGTGGGGGGGCAAAGATAGATACCCCATCATAGGGAGGAAAGGAAACCCAGAAGCCTGACAAAGTCTTCTGTATAATAAAGAAAAGCAATGGATGACAAAATCCTCCATTTTCATTTCAAACGAATTCCCTTAATTCTGAGAGAACCAAAGAGCAAGAAGAGGTGGTAGGAAGGCCGGCGGCCGTTGCTGGGAGAGGCCCTCGCCAGCTTCGTGTGGCTTCATCGATCGCCTACAAATTGCTTCTGGAGGCCCCGGGGACTCCCATTAGGTCTGTCCACCTTAGAGACAGACGTTTGATCTCAGTTGACGGGGTGGAAGGGGACATTAAATGGAATAAGTGAGTCATCGCCTCCCTGGACCTCCTCGGAGGAAGCCGGCTAGTCAGGCCTGAGTCCCGGCAGGGGACAGGGCTCTGCACAGGAGGTCGGAGGCCTGGGAAAGGTTCGCAGGAAGAAGGGAGAGAAGGAAGAAGTCCACCAGGGCATCTCATATCCACCAGCCTTTGCCTTTGCCCTGGAATGGCAGGGAGGGTGAGGCCCCTCAGACTTGGGACCTAAGCTCCTGTTCATCCTCAGGTCTGGGGAGAGGTGGGCTGCCACTCTATCCTTGGCTATGCCCTCCAAGGCTGGTGAGGGTGTGAGAACTTGGGGCAGCCAGGGAGCCCCAGCTGCTTTGCCCTAGCGGAGTTTCCCACAGCTTCCTGGAGATAGCTCTCCTCCATCTACTTTTGGGATTTCCAGCCTTTGTCGGCTAAAGGACCTTCAAGATAAGGGAAAGCATTATAGGGGCCCAAGCTGGAGCTGGGCGCTGCCAAAGGGAGCAGTGCTCCCTCAGGCTATCTCCCGGAGCGACCCCGAAGCGTGGGTAACGGCTTGTCCCTGGTGCAGGCGGCAGACCGCGGAGGAGCGTGAGGCCGAGAGGCAGCAGGCGAACCGCATCCTCCTGCAGCTGCAGCAAGAGGCCTTCCAGAAGAGCCTGGCACAGCCGCTGCCCGCCGACCCGCTCTGCGTGCACAACTCGTCGCTCTTCGCCCTGCAGAACCTGCAGCCATGGTCTGATGACTCCACCAAGATCACCAGCGTCACGTCGGTGGCGTCGGCCTGCGAATGAGCCTGCCCACTCCTCCCTGAGAGACCCCTGGGCCCAGCCTAGGGGTCGCTGAGGCCTGAGAGCCAGGACTCTCTTTTGCCTCTCCTGCCTCAGACTGCACAAGAAAGGGGAACGCCGCGCCCCTCCCCAGGGGCGGTGTGCTCTCCGAAACTGTTCTCTCTTCGGTGGAAAAGAAGAAAAGAGCGCAGGTGACAGAGATCCGCGACTTCCTTCCAGATAGCCATGCGGTCCTGAGCCCGCTGGAACTGTTCAGAGTCCTCTCAATTTGCGTCTATTTTATTTTATTCTGATTTTTAACGTTGGACCGAGGAAGGCAGGGGAGGTGGGGGAAGAAGAGCTTCTGGGGTCCCCAGAGGACAGCATGGGCTGTCATTTGAACCCCCTCTCTGTATCCCACTGTTAATCACACACTGACATCCATAGGCCCACACAGAGGTGATTTTACTGTCCCTCTTGGTGTCACCCCAGAGTCACAAACAGGACCTATGGCAGAATGTCATGCACACCCAGGGCTATAGCCTTCTCGCCCCTGACCCTCGCTATCAGGCATAGGCCAGGAGTGACCTAGACTCATTCTGAACTCCTGACACATATCACAAACACAAGGCCATGGCCACATTGTGACACACCATCCCACACACAACAGCCACAACAAGATCACTTGGTCTGCCAGGCCGCCATCACAGATCCTAGCCACACCCAAGTACACACAGGCAGGTTTTCACAAAAACTTAGCCTGTTTCTCCAGATCCTGTTCATGGGGGCGGGGGGAGGGGTGTTAAGTTATGCACTTAAAAGGTGTTTTCGGTGTAACCATTTTATAAAGTGCTTGTGTAATTTATGTGGAAAAAAAAAAATAAAACCCTCCGGATCCGGAGTCAGGGCTGCCTGCTCCTTGCTGAGCCCAGCACCTTGCAGCTACTTGAGTTTGTTGTGAGCTGGTGCCGCTGGGGCAGCCGCTGGTGCCTGAGCTTGAGGGACATGTGGGGGCCAAGACCTGCTGGCTCTGGAGAGATAAATGAAGGAAAGGAACGAACAGAGAGAAGGTAGAGCTGAGGAAAAGATGGAAAGCCAGGCTGTCCTGGGATAGCTATTGCTCCAGAGGATATAATGTCTTTAGGGTGTGAAAGTTGTGTATGTGCATTGTGTGTTTGTGATGATGTAGACAATCAGGATGTTGCTGATAGTGAATGGTTGTCATAGTGTTTGAGTGTGTAATTGTGTTTGTAATTATTGTATGTAAGTGCTTGTTTCTGCTTAAGTTACAAATCGAAACTATAGTTGTACACTCTAACTTGTAGTGTTGTGTGTATAACCATGTGTAAATGAGGCTGCATTTTGGGGGGTAATTGTATGATCACCCATCCATATTTGTGATTGTGTATGAATAATGTGTTAATTTTTATGAGAGTACATTTAGTTTCTCCTCGTGAATTTTTTTATGTTAAATGTGTGAACGTTTGTGTTAAATGTGTGAGTGTGTATCATCTGTAATTGTATGAATGTAATTGTGTGTGAGATGTAATCATGCATGAGGTGTGTATTTTACTGTATATATTTGTGTATGACACTATGTAATTGGGGAAGTGAATTAGTAGGGAGTGCGGATCATTGTGGATGACTGTCCCCACGGCTGAGAGAGTGTATGAGTGAATATAATTGTGCGCTGGTGGCATACATGGTGGTAGGGGTTTAAGGCACTTGTCCCTAACCTTTCTGGCACTAAGGACCGATGCTCCTCTGAGAATCTAGTGCCTGATGGTCTGAGGTGGAGCTAAGGCGGGTGATGCTAGTGTTGGGGAGCGGCTGCAAATACAGATGAAGCTTCGCTAACGCTCGAAGCCGCTCACCTCCTGCTGTGCAGCCCAGTTCCTAACAGGCCAGGGACAGGTACTGGCCTGTGGCCCGGGGATCGAGGATCCCTGGTTTAAGGTGGGGTGTGCAGAAATATTGTAGGGATACCAACATCTGCCAAGAGTTCTGGGATTCTAGGCCCATATCCAGCAAGCTGCAGAGACTGAGGCACACTGTAAGGGAGCCGGGATCCTCTTTGTTACTCTAAGTGGGACTTCACAGCTCTCAGCACTAGCCTGCTCGAGGTGGGATCTGAATAAGTGACTTCTCAGGGACTTTCAGGGAAGCCCCAGACCACTCTGGCCAGGACTGCAGCCACAGTGCACAACACTCCCCATAACATCTAGTCCCCCACCCCACACACATACGAGACCAATTTTAGGTACACAAAACTGATTTGAACCTGCTTTTGTGGAAGAAGCTAGGTGGTGGAGGGTCTGGAGAATATGCCATCCTGGGGGAGTAGAGTAGGGATATAGAAGGCTCTTTGGGATGGGAAAGTGAGAGAACTTTTCAGCTAGAAACTAGAAGAGAGTGGTGTGTGGGGCTTGTTTGTGTGTGCAGAGCTGAGCGCAGTGGGACTGGGGGTGGGGGGAGCCATGGAAACCATCACAGCCACTTTCCTTCATCCCTGCCCAGGCTGCCATCCTGGACCTTTCCTATGAAAGGGGAACAAAGCACAACAACCTCCCACCCAAGGAATACCCAAGGGGAAATTTGGCTGTGTGTGAACAGGGCAGTGCTCCTCCATCCCTCATTTGTGGCCCCCTTGCATCCGGACCTCAGCAAGAAAGGAGTCTTCTGGGTCCAAAGGTCATAGGCAGCCCCTGCCCCCATCCTGTAGGCTTACAGGGTGACTAAGGCCAGGCCCGGACAGGCTGTGTGTTGGTGGTGGTGGAGAGAGGTTCTGGCCACAGTGCCAGGTCTGCAGTGGGTCTCCAGCCTGCAGTAGCTGCAGCTCCCAGTACCCGGCTGAGCGAAATCCGGAAATGGCCTCTTGGATCCGCATAATTCGTCTCCTTCTGCCTGGGCAGGTCTGGCTGTCTCCTCCCCTCTCGCTGGGACTGAAGCCTCCCAGCCTGTGCTCTTCCTTTGGTGAGATCTCGCTCCTCTATTTGCGTCTTTAGGACGCAACTTTAGTGCCTCCCAGCTGCACAATTCCATAGTCTCAGGACCTTGGGGGAGACTGAGGACTTCCTTCCACCTCCCATTCGCCGGAAACCCCTCAAAAAGCTGCTGTGCCTAGAGGCTCCTGGATATTTTCTGGCGGCTGACTGTCCAGCTGAAGAGCTGAGGCAGGAATGGGGAGCGGCTACCTGGCTTAAACACAACCCCCCAAATAGGCTCTGAAGTCTGTGCTCTTCATCGTCACCCCCTCAACCCCTCTTGCAAGACAAACGCAAGCAAAGTTAGACAAAACGCAGCCCCTACCCAAAATACCTCCTACCGCCTCATCTTCACAGCTAGAGCTCACACTCACGTCCGCGCGAGCGAATGCCTGCTCAGCCCGGCTGCTTTTAGCTCGTGTCCAGCTTGTCCGGGATTCGTGGGGAAGTGGGCACCGCGCATAGCGAGATCTCGAGCGCTGCCCCCACTTCAGCGCCCACTGTGGGCGGCCACTCAGCTACCCTACGGCCACCTCGCTACCCAAACCAGCTATCCGAATCCGGCGCGCCTGCACCCGGCGCTCGCTGGTGGCCCGGGTCGCGCGCTCTCCCGGGGCCCCTCCTATGCGCCCAAGCCTTCGGGCGAGGCCTCCCACAGGTGCCAGACTCCCCAGGACACTGAGGCTCTCAGTGCTAAGGGACCACGCAAGACTACCCTCTCTCCGCCCGGAATTCGTTGAGACCGAATCTCCGCGAATCCCGCGTCGGCCGAGGGCCGCGGCTGCTGGGAAAGGCCCGGCTAGCGGCGGGGCCCACACACCCCGTTCCGAGTGCAGCGGACTCCAGAGAGGAGAAGGCTGCGAGGGTCACAGCTAGGGCCAACTACCCGCAGAAGAAAGCTCACAACTCCCCGCCTGCCATCGCGCCTTTCCAGAAATGATCGAGTCTCTGTTCGAAAATAGAAAAGGAACTAATTATCGGAATAATTTTGTGTAGTTGGTGAGGGGAAAGAAGAGGAATTAACAAACCTGCCTGGGCAGAAAGGCCTGCCTCGCTCCTTGGCTTGAATGAGCCGACTGCACTGACCAAGGTCCCGGACGAGTGAGCCGAGCACCCACCAGCGTGGATGGGTGGGTAGTGGCCTGCCTGGCCCAGAAACCCGTGCAAGACTGGGGTCCTAGAGGCGGTGCTGTGCCTCAGGTGGCACACAGAGAATCTGGCTCGACCTGTTAACTATAATAGCGGCTTTGTGTGGCCGGATCTGTGCTTGGGGGCTGTGTGGGCATGGTCTGAGCACTGCCTTGTGACGCCCCTGCAGCGGTGGCAGGTGTGGGGGCTTGCCCTGGGCTCAGGACTCAGATGGGTGTCCTGTTTGTGATGTGACTGACTTGCAGGTGGGTGAAGTAGGTTCCAGGTGTATGAGACAACTAAGCAAAGACCTTCCTCCTGGCTGTGCAGAGCCGAAGCAGCTAGCAATCAACGGCATACTATGGGGGAAGGGGGAGCTGTGGCGCTGGGGCTGCTCTAAGGACCCTTCAGGCCAGATGTGGGAGGAAACCCCCTGCTTCAGGCTCTGCTCCTCCTACTCCCCTCACATCCATCTTCACACACTTCTCACTCCCACGCAGCCCCCAGAGTCCTGTTCCTAAGCAGCAATTCCCCTTCCTAAGTGCTCCCTAATCAGCTCAAAGTTTGGAGCCACACGGCTAGGCCCGCTGCCGAGGAAACTAACAGGAGCTGCCTAGGCTTTCCCCGAATGGCATGAATCAGCTGCCCAATGTCGTCCCACAAAGCCCGCTGGCACCACTCACCTGTACCCATGCCTAGATTCCTTATCCCAAGGAGTCTGATAGGAATAGACTGAGCAAGGGGAAGGGCTGTAGCCAGTTCGGATTTTCCAAGGAGATCAGAGCAGACTCCGAAGACGATGTGTTCGGTGGATAGGGGAGGGATAGGGATGAGTGGAGAAAGCATGAGTATCTTTGTTGTGTTGAGAGGTGGGTACAAACTCACACCCCTTCATTTACAGCCTGCATTGTG